AAATTCTAATTTCCTTTATACCTTTTGTATTAAAATTAAATTTGCAAATGCACTTAATGCCGAACAATTAATTATTTTTAAATTAATGTCACAAAACAAGAAAAAAATCCACAAATTTCTCTCACCAAATCTCAACAAGATCTCAAAAACTATAATATTAATTTAACCACACACTTGTTAGAATTAATTATAGTACAATAAATGAATTAATCCTTTTGAAAAATTCACTTCACTCACCTGATGCGTTCTGGCCAGAAACGACTTTAATGGTTTACAAACTTGCTCAAGATTTATTCACCGAATACACTTTTTCTCATCACAACACTATCTGTGTGACCGCAAAATATTTCTAAGTGCTTATTAAAAACTCAATTTTTTCAAAGTTTTTTCAAAGACTTACAAATTATTTCCGATTCTTAACAACACTCTCTATCAATGTTTCAACGAACCGAAGGACCAATGCCCGAAGGACCAATGTTGCACAACTGCAAATGGTGAAGTTGATAAATATTCAAAACAAGAAGGTCTGGATCTATTGATAATAAAAAATAGACTCCTTTATTCATGCTATGCTATCTTCTTTTATACTAATTGCTTCAAGGCCTTACAAAGGAATGTGCACACCAAATTGCACACGGCACTGCAATTATTATGCCCTTGAATGAAAGTATATTCAACTTTAGCATAACGTCATTATAAAGTTATACATTACAATAAATTATAAAATACATAATGATTATCAAATTCATTAACGACATGAAATAATTCAAATCTAAAGCATAATTTGGATATACTAAAGTGACATCTAGTGAAATTTATAGAAAGTATAAAAGTATATCATAGATAAATAAATATGTTAATATCGTATATTAACAAATAGATCTACCTAATCTTTGCACAGTAATTTTTTATGTAGCATTAGTAATTAGTAATTTCTACTTTCGACACATTAGCTACACAATCCTCAAAACTAATTCGCAAATTGATGGATCTGCAGTGTCGATAATTATGTCTTCACTCAAAGATCTCATTTGAGTTGCTGAAAATCACGCCTCTCAATTTTCCAATCTAATTTTTTTACATCGACTTCCTTATTTCTCAAGTTTTGCGATGTGATCACATCATCATGATAGATTTTCACTTCCTTATCATCGGTTGAGCTTTGTAAGTATTAGCTAAGCTCTAGAAATATTTGAGATCGGAAGGAGAAAATGTAGAGCAAGTAAGAAAGTCTTTACTGGACATGATCGATTATTAATGATTAATTTTTGAATTAATTTTATAAAGAAGAATTTTCTTTAAAAACATTTTTCCAAATTCGCCATTTTGAAATGTTTTTTTTTTTTAATTTTTGTAGGTATTAATTTCTCTAACTTGACGATATTTTTTGCAAAAATTCTTGTTTGCTCACTCTTATACTACAAATAAAAATTTAAATCCCTACTAATAGACCTCAAAACGACAAAATATCAGCACTTAAACTATCGAGGTGAGAAAATTTTCTAATAAAAATGTATAATTCAATTTAAACCATTTAAAACCCGTTAACTTGACTTCCTTTCATCCTTAATAGATTATCAATGTTTAAACAAATAAATTTTGCCTCTTTATATCCATCGCAAGCAGTTGCCGACAAAACAAAATGCATATCAAGTTTCCATTTTAGTAAAAAAAAGTGCTAAAAAAATCGCTAACTCGATGATAGGTGACACTAACTGCATTCAATAATAATTATCGTCAAAAGACATATTTTCGCATATTATAGACGACAGGCAAAGCAACTAGCTAAATATGATATTATTAAAAGTCAAGAGCGCTGCTCACGTACAAAAAAAAGAGAGAAATATTGAAATATTTATTAAGTGTGTTTACTATTGACATCAATTGTAGAGCTATAGATAGTTGAATTAGCCTCAATATTTTCATACATTTAATATATAAACATATAGTTTTGCAGAGGGCATTTTTATACACAGCCATAACTAGTTTTTACTACATTTTTTTACTGAATTTTATTTTAAAATTCACAGTCAATAGACAATCAGTTCAAGATTGCACTTTACATATACGTAAGAAGCTGTTGCTTTCAATGGAATTTGTAGTGCTCTTTACTGTTTTTTGAAAGAAAAAAATTTCAGGCAGTGCTCAAAAGATCATGATTTCTGACACCAGTTGCTTGTCATTTACACCATTCAACAACAAAAGCATTTAATTTCTAAATTCCGTGAAAATTTCAAAATTTTAAAATTTTCACACAACCGAAAAAATTGAACATAAAAGCTCAATTTAATTAGTTCCACATTAAATGAACATGAATTATTTTTTATGGTTTAAATAATGCTCACGAGCTAAACTTAAGTTTGTGCTAATATGATCAATAGTTTATAAAAATGAATTTCGTAACTTCGATCATTGGTCAGGAGATTGGTTGAATGACCTGTCGAAATTACAATATGCTGATGACATTGAATGGAGATTTATTTAAGAAAGAAATTTTTTGGAGTTTTTAAAAGGTTTTGGATACAAACAACACGAGTCAGAGTGACTTAATAGCCTCTGTTTATTCATAGATTTTGAACAATGTTCGATATGATAATTGAAAGATTTAATTTCGAAACTTAAAATCTCTATAACAATTTTTGAATTCAGGTCAAAGTTTAATTTGCATTTCGATAATTAATATTTCATTTTCCAAAGCTATAATTTCAAAAAAAAATTTTACTTTCGATGTTGAAAAGATTAGTTTAAAATTTAAATTTTTAACTTTTGATTTAGAATTTTCACTTTCGAAAATCAAAATTTCACTTTCGAAATTAAAACTTTCAAATTCGAACTCGAATTTTTTCACTTTCGAACTTGAATTTTTCACTTTCGAAAAATCGAAAATTTTGAATTGAAGAATCAAAATAATGCAAATATAAAAATAAAAACTATGATATTCCCAGCTTCAAAGCTCAATCCCACTGAACTCTAAACAGCAATGACCGTTTTGTAATTTTATCCATTATTTGCATCAAACATTCATGAATCAAAATTCCTAGCAAAACATTCGGATTTCTTCATACTTTATACGCTTTTGATTATTACCAGATAATACATATTCATTCACATATTTACTGCAAAAATAGCAAATAATAAGAAAGAAAAGAAAAAAAAAACTTTCACTTATGCGATGGAACATTGTTTCAAGTGAACGAGAGACACACAAACGAAATGGAAAATAATGAATAAAAAAAATTGTAAACTTTTGTATACCATACCATAGCTTAGGTAATTACATCATTTGATCTCATAGAGCACACATGTGAGATGCATGCAACTAATGACCGTAAATGGCTCGAACAAAGACCCCGTGATTTAGATTGACTGTCTATGGTTAATACGATTTGTTGGATCAACAACAACAAAGCAAACAGAAAACTGTCTACAAGGTGATGTGATTGGTGATGCAGACGATGAGATGAAGATTGAATAAACATAATAAGAAGCTCAAGAGGTTTATGCACTAGAAAATCTCCAAAGCTATGTAAATATTCAATGAATTTAACAATTTTGATAATTTAACGGAGTTTAAAATATTTGAATTATTTTACAAAACTTAAAAAATTTCATGCTCCATTTGGAATAGTTTTTTGCCAATTATTCGATAAATTCACCTTGTTTCAATGCAAATCTAGTTCAGTTTTGATTAAAAAGATGGCAAAAATAATCTGCAGCAAAGTTCTGCCTCATTAAATTCGAATTAAAGCGCAAAAATCTTTCAAACCTAAAAGTCAAATGATCTATTGCCGAAAATCAAGTTTATTTTTCAAATCAAAGCTTTCTTTTGTAAAATTAAATGATCCATGCACCAAATTTCCCATCAAATGAGACAAAATGACTTCAAAAAAATCTCATTGCTCATAAGAAACGCTCTCAAAAGCAAAAACTAAAGAAATAAGTCACTGAAGCATAAGAAAAAAATATCCAAAAAGAGAAAAGTAGTCATTAGATAACCATATGCGACGACGTCTACAATTGAGTATGGAAAACATGTCAACCGGCGATCGAAATTGATCCGTCAAATAAACATTGAAAACTGAGAAAGCCCTCATGGATATATGTGATTTGAGAGCTAAATAGACAAACATTTTTGAATGAAAAATACTCAAGAAAAATTAAATTTTTATTTTTCATTAATTAATGCTCTCCGCTGTCAGTCAATCAGTTGTTTATATTTAAACGAATCAGGTTACATGAGACACCAGCGACATTGATTGGTTTATTGCACAATTTTTTTTAATACCTTTTTGTGGACAATGCTGTTGATGTATTTTTGCATGATCTAAATGAGTTTGCAATTTTTTTGAGAATACTTTAGTGTGGTTGATGGAAATTAGGAGGTGATTTGAGGTTATAGAATGAAGTTATTAAGGATTTTGAGGTAATTGGATGGAATTATCGAGGATTTTGATGAAAGATTCTGAAGGCACTGGAAATATGAGACGACTTATGCCTTTTAACCTTAAATTTTGTGAAAATTAATGATTTTAGAATTTTTCGAAATTGAGTTTTCGAACTTTTAAAAATTTCGAAAATGAAATTTCGAATTTTTGAAATTAACGGACAAAATTCTCTGAAATCATAAGCAGAGATCCCTAAATTCCAAATCATCTAACCTCAAATGTCTCCATAACTTCACCAAACTGACTCATACACCCATTTTTCACTAGCTTTCAATTTAACAGTCTAAAAAGCATTATTTGGCAATATAATTCCATTAGAAATGTGCAGCATAACCTCTCACATTGTAATACTTAATTGAGCTTCTGTGGCTTTTAAAATATCATTAAACTCGAGACATTATGGAATGTTTCTCGCAGTAAATCTTGATTGTAAATTATATATGAGAAAATAGACGGAAAAAATGTCGCCCATGCAGGAAAAAAAAGTTTTAATTTTTATTATAATGGTGGGTATGGAACTTATAATTTCATTACAATTGCAATTATTCAATTAATCTTCCGTTAACTTTCGCGAATGCTATTTCTTCATTACGATTATATTAAAGTAGACACATTCATAAATTGTACATACGTATGGTGAGTACAGTCTCATTGTATAAGAATCTTACTGATGCATGCAGTTCTGTTGTGCATTATATGAATAATTTCATCAAGTTGCCGGCTCAATTCTACTATTCGTGAGTACAATGTGCCTCCATTTTTTATGGTTATACAATATATATTTCGGTTATATCCAGTTTATATCGTAATCACTTTTGGCAGTCATCAATTGAGCATTAACCAAAACAAATTACGTCGATTATGAGCATGATGGAGATAATTTACACTGTTCGCTTATGAAAAAAAAGTTTAAAAGAAAGTGAAAAGGATTTTTTTTTTCGGATAAGACCCAGCAGTTCAGATACAGCGCAGTGTTGTAATATGTCTGCAATTATTATTTAATTTTTTAAATTCATTAATAAACGATTATGAAGTCTCGACACTTGTGGAAGGCGTAAAGTGAGGAAGTGGTTTTGCGAATGGCAGGGGATGTCTATGGTGTCTTATGTAATGCTTAGAGCAATAATAATCATAGGTCTTAAGGAGGAAGGGGTTCATCTAATTTACACTAAAGCATGGTTCGCCTGATTAAGATTCGAACCCTCAGCTGACTCTCAGATAACCAAAAACTGTAGTAGCTTCCAATGAACCACTTCAATCCCCAACACCACACTTGACAATCTACAAATTAATGTCAAAACTTACAATAACAAAATATCAAGCTATTAAAACATCAAATTTAAATAAACAAGATGTAATCATGTTAAACCGCATGATAATCTTCATAAAACTCGCATAATCTACTTACTACCATCTAAAGCTAATTACATTAGCAGTCATAATTAAATTTACTCATACATGAAGCAATAATTAACAACAACAAAACAAAATTTAATTTAACGACTGATAGCGAAAGTTAACAGTCCTTACGAAATTATTAAATTAGCATGAAATAGAGTTTTTGCTGCTCATATATGTGTCGCAATATACCAGCTTATCAAAAACCAAATTTGTTTACAAACATTTTTTTTTTTATTGATTCACTCTAAACGTCTACAGTCACGAATTTCTATGATGATACGGATTTTTTAAAGATTATGAAATTTTGTTTGTAGCTGTTTACATTTGACTTGTGATCTTCGACAGCGAAAAAAAAGTAATTTTATTATTTGAAGAGATTATTTGCCCAATTTTGCGTCACATAAAATTGACTTGCTGTACATGCTGATTGTGTTTTGATGGGAATATCTTTATTAGCGTGATTTATTTTTATTTTTAAGTGAAAGCTGGTGATATTTGAGTTTTGTCTGTATGGCAAAGGTGAAAATTTGGTTTCAAAGGGTGTGAAACTAAGACTTTCCAGGGGCGTAAAACCAAGAATTTTCAGTAGAATAGGTATCAAAAAGGGGTTTGAACTAAGAATTTTTGTCTAAAAGGGTGTTGAACTAAGAAAGTTTTGTATAGAAGGTGTGAAACTACGAATATTAGTCTATAAGCGGCGAGAAAACAAGAAATTTTAATAAGAGGAGTCAAAACTAGTAATTTACGTGTAAAAGGGGTGTGAAAGTACACCAAAAGGTAGCTTTATTTCGCAAGAGGGGTGTGAAACTACGAATATTGGTCTATAAGCTGCGAAAAAACAAGAGTTATTGATAAAAAGGCTCAGAACTAGTAAGTTAAATATTAAAGGGGTGTGAAACTACACCAAAAGGTAGATATATTTCCACTATATTAAAATTTTAAAAATAAACTGATTCAAAGTGCGCCTTATATTTTCCCATCCACAATAAACATTTCCCATCAATCTCAGTACATATTTACCAGCAACTGTAATGTGAGTACAAAAAACGGCAAGCAAATATTTGATTTAAAAAAGAAAGTTGGGGACGTGACATTTTTTTCTGCTCAGTCTACTGATTCAAAAATGTCTTTGTGTTTGATGATTTTCGGTCGCAACATACTTTTTTTTTCAACAAAACGTAAACTTGTCATACGTTGATGGCATCAAGCTACTGTGCTCATGTTAATATCATCATTTTCTAAATTTTTAACGCAAACACAATTAAATTCATTGAGCGGCACATGCCAGATTTGTACTAATCATCATTTGTATTCTGATGTAATTTTCATCCACGCTCTTTCACTTTTTCACTCACTCGATTGACTCAATTCCTATTTTTTTATAATGCGAAAAAATTCCAATTAACATTTTTGTGCACAAAAGAAAGTTCAAAAATTTTTCCCTCATTTTTAACGTAAAAATCTCATGTTAAATAATTTGTATACTTCACAGGTTTAATTTTCGTTGTCTTTTTTTGAATTAATCGCTTGTTAAATTACACTTTTACACACTTTTTTAATAGGCAATACTCTGTTTCGCTTAAGAATGTTAATTAAACTTTGAAAGGTTAAGAGATCTGCTAAAAGGATTTACTTCTTGTCTGTCTGTCACTCAATTTGATTGTTGAATTTTTCATATATTTTTTGACTGTTATTTTTGAAATGTTTTTAAATTTTCAAATTTTTAAAAAAATTGTCGATCATAAAATTTTTCAAATATTTTTTGTCAATTAAGTTAACATTCTCAATCAGCATAATAAGCTCCTTCAAATTGCGCTTTATGGATCAATAAGAACCATACACAAATTCTCATTACTTCGTCTACCTTACAGTTCTTTTTCAATAAGTAGCTCACCTGGCATGAAGATTGAGTTATCAATTTGAAGATGTATATTTTTTTTGGAACCGCTAAGCTATTTGTTCAGTTGAAAATGATGGAAATTATGAACAAACATCTAAATTCGTTTGAGGTTAATGTGAATAAATTATTTGAGTGGAAATTTACTTTTAAAATTTTATATTTGAGATTTGAGTGAAAAAAGATTGCTGTGATAATTTTTTTTTTGTGGAATTTATAAAGGTGTCAAGTCTTTCTGTCATAAATTATTTGATTATTGATGCTTAAAAAGTCTTTTTTTGCATGAATATTCATTGAAGAATAAATAAAATTGCTGCTGGAAATAAACACTTGAAGTAATTTTAAAATTGTCACGATTATCCGTGTCGAAATCATAAGAAATTACTTGAAATTCCACTCGACAAGAGTAAGAAGTTGTTTACTAAGCAATTTTAATAAAGAATTTTTCTCATCATTGGGTCAGTAGTCGAGAGATTCTTAACTTTTAAGTACTTTAGATTTCAATCTACACAAAAGAAGTAAAGAATCATTAAATCCAGTCTAATATCCAACTCTAATCCACAAATCTAGTCTCATTGACTAGACTTAACCCAAATAAAATTAATATTCTTAAAACAATTGAGAATTTAAATTCTATCTTAGTTTTTTTAAAGTTTTTTTTAAATCCACCGTAACAGTACCCGATTATCATTAATCAGAGAGCTAAGAATGATCCATTCTAAAATCCCGTTTCAACTTTTATTGCCAAAAACACTTAAAGTTAAGTGAGCAGTAAAAAAAATATCAGACAATTTATCAAGAAATGATTGCGTGAAGATGACTAAACAATTTGCAATCAAATATGCTCTTTTTTCGATCACTCTAAACTGTAATTAAAATTTTTCACTGCTTAGTTATCAATCAAGTTGAGCTTTAAATGCTTTTTATCGAATTCGCTGAATCAATGAATGGAATTACGAACTTAGTAATGGATTGTTTTATCAATTTGTGGTTCAGTTGGTGAAGCTTGAGAGTTTTTTGTGAATTTTGAAGAATTTGTGATGAAGTTTGAGAATTTGTTGAGTTTTGAGGTGAAATTGTTGAGCTTGGTGAGTTTTGAATTGAATTTGGTGAATTTTGTGGTGAGTTTAAAGGTGAGTTTAGTGAAATTTATCATTTTTTGAAAGTTTTGAAGTAAGTTTGGCACAATTCATCATTTATTGGACAGTTTTGAGGTGAATTTGGTGAATTTGGTGAACTTTATCATTTTTAAAAAGTTTTGAGATGAGTTTGGTAAAATTTATCATTTTTGGACAGTTTTGAGGTGAGTTTGAAGACACTTATCATTTTCGGAAAGTATTGAGGTGAGTTTGGTAAATTTGTGTTGAGCTTTGAGGTGAGTTTGATGAAATTTATAATTTTAGGAAAATTTTGAGGTAAGTTTGTTGAAATTTGTCATTTTTGGAAAGTTTGGAGGCGAGTTTGATAAAATTTATCATTTTTGTGAAGTTTTAAGGTGAATTTGGTAAGTTTGGTGAGTTTTGAGGTGAGTTTGGTGAGTTTGGGGAGTTTAATGAGTTTTAAGATGAGTTTGGTAAAATTGACAATTGTTGTATAGTTTGAGGGAGAATTCAAGGGTTTTGAAGTGATTTTCGAGATTTCGTTAAATTTTGATGAGTTTTGAGTTAAAATTTGGTAAAAAAAGAACCAAACTTAACTAAATCAACACCATTAAAACTCATGAAAAACTTTCGCTAATGAAGAAATCTTCAAGAATGTTAATTTTAATTTTCATCAAACGTTTCATCTTCACGCGAAAACTTAATTTGCTAGAAGCATTGAACATGAAAATTGCATGAGAATCATTTTTTCACTCTCTTCGTCTCTTTGTCTCATCCAACCTATAATTCTATTGTATTTAATTACTTTCCATAATTAACCCGCCCTTTTCTAGAAGTTCACATCTTTTAAAGTCAACATGTGAGGCAAATTGGAAGGGAAAACTCATCATTATGCATGATCATTGGGTTATCGTGATTGGAATTTTACTTCATCGTCAGACTAATTGTCATGTACATGTCATGACATTTTTTTTGTGTGCATCTCATCCTGAACAATAATGCAATCAGATATGAATGCGATAATTCACATTTTTTTTCCTATATAATTAAGTTAAAAGTAGCGAATAATTTTTTTTTATAAAATTAAATTTAACTGTGCTGTGCTGCATTTTTTTCGTTGGTTTGTTATATAACTTTATTACATTTCTCAGAGGCATTATGCCGCGCGCACATATGAATCGACGAAAAGATTCCGGGAAATTTTTCTCTTAAACGATTAAACGTGATATGCATTAATTCTAAACTGTGCAATGCAGCAGGGAGAAAAAAATTTCTTTACGGCTCGTCTCAAATGTGACTCTTTTTTTTGTTTCACATGAAACTAATAGTGTCATTATATGGCTTACATGCAACGTAACGTTAGCACAAAATAAGTAAGGAAATTGATTTTTTTTTCGTGAGAAATTGAGACGAATTTTTGTAGTAAATTACCCAACATTAATAACGTGACATATGTAAATAGTTTGAGAG